CGGCGCACCAGGCATCCCCTGGCTTCCTCCTCTCCAGGGCCCTCAGCAAACCAAGGGGCTCCCAGGACCGACCGACGGAGAGCAGCTACTCGGGTGTAAGCCCTGCAAGCGCTCAGATTGCCTCCCGATTCCCCTCTGGAACCCTTCAGGATCCTTTAGGTCCCACAGACCATCGGAACGGGCCCTGGGCCGGGCACCAAGTGCCTCATCTGGGCAGAGATGCATCTGGCCAGGCAACTCCGTCTGGATCGCCTGCCGACGGTCCTGGGGTAGCAACACGGTCCTGGGGAGGTTTGCCTGCTGTGCCGGGCCAGAGACGACCTGGACAAGCCCGTCCCGAGTCTTCCCCACGGCATGGAGGCCGAGGGCATGGCCGGCAACCCAAAGCCAGCCCAGCCACGCGGTCCAGGAGCCAGGAGAGGTTCAGTCAGGATGCAGCAACACTGAGCAAAATTTGGGAAAGCAATTCTTTTTCCCCCGCAAACCCGACTTTTGTTCTTCAGCAGGTCATTGAGAAACGCATGAATGGGAGAAAGAAGGTTTATAGATTGCTGATTTAGAGGAAGTGATAAGGTGAATGGGCTTGAATCGTGGAACAGGGAGTTGAAGACTGCTTGCTGAATGGGAAAAACGCTGAATACGATGGGCATAATGCATGCCAGCCGTGAACAGGACGCGTAGTGAACGGTTCAACCCTGAGCCGGAATAAGACAAGACGCGCAATGTCCCCTTGGTTGTCTGTTTTCATGAATAAAATAAATCATTTGTTTACAGTTCCAGGCCAGTAAAACCAAGTATACAATCTAAAATACAGATATATCGAACCCGAAACAATTAATACTGAAAAGAGGATATCAAACCAGCTTCCACAAGCTGTAACTATGGTTAGAAACTTGGCAATATTTATAGTGGTTGTCCAAGTTAGGTCCTGCTGAAGGAAGATTGTAATTTCTTGGTCAGAGAGACAGCTAAAAAGTATGAAATTGGGTTTATGAGTGGCACAACGGGCATTGTAACAACGCTTGGGCGCTGACTCATGCTGGCTGGGGAATTCTGGGAGTCGAAGTCCACACCTCTTAAAGTTGCCAAGGCTGAGAAACACTGGCCCATTGGCTTCATAATAGCAGTGCGCCGCTTCAAGCCAAGCTGAAAAATCTCCTTGGTGAAATATGCAGGGTGTTGGAGAGGTAGCTTGGAAGCATCCATGGATGTAGGTCTAACCCCAGATCCTCCATCTAAGCTCGGTTAAGGCTTTGTCTGGGCTGAGAGATGGTATCGCCTGGAGTGAGAGGCCACGATAGGCCAGATCAGAATCCCTTTGTCTGCTTGGGGATGAGGAAAACCTATCCAGAACCACAGATGTACCCCAGAAGATTTGTTTTCAGCCAGAATCCGAGATGGCAAGATGCCAGGCGGGCCCAGGAGAAATGCAGCCGAGCTCTGGACGAACAAGAGCGTTGGAAGAGGGACGCGAAGTACGGCTTTCGGAAGATCGAACCGCTTCTAAAGTAGGAGCGTCCTTGAAAGCACCAAGCTGTGCGCCTACAACAACCGGCCCAGGACCTTTGCTTCAGGCAATGTTATTGCTACAGGAGCATAATTATTGCCTTGAGGACTGGCGTATTTGAAGATTGCATTCGAAACTTTTTGAGCTCTATCAGAAAACTCACTCAGTCGATTATTCCAGCGGGTTGGAAGTGGATGCCGAGATACTT